GAAGTCCTAGTGTTGCACCTATTTTTTTGCAGATGATTCTTTCGACGTTACGCGCGACTTGAATTATGGTACACAAGTTTATTCGCAAATGTGAGTCACGGTGCCGTGGCATTTTACTTGATATTAGAACGAGAACGGGAGGTGCAGTGCGCACGCACAAAGAAACAAATGGCGGGAGGGGGAAGAAAGGAGAAGGAGTGTATGTATTTGCAGCGCGAAATTAAACAGGTGCGATCATACCAGCATTAATGCACCAGATCCTATTCCTCTGACTTGGCTCACAAAGAAGAACATCAAGTTTTAGTGGAACGAGAACTGTGAAAGGGGTTTTTCAGAACTAAAGAGAACGGTTGACTACTGTACCTGTGTTGGCTTTACCGAGCGGGTCAAGTGAATATACAGTTTATAGTGATGCCTACTACCTAGGGTTGAGTTGTGTTCTGATGTAGCATGAGAAAGTCATAGCCTATGGGTCCAGATAGTTAAAAAGTCATGAGAAAAACTACCTCACCCATGACTTAGAACTTGCTCCGATTATCCACGCCTTGAAAACTTGGCGCCATTATTTGTATGGGGAGACATTTTAGGTCTATACCAACCATAAGAGGTTGAAACACATATTCACTCAAAAGGATCTCAACATGCATCAGAGAAGATGGATAGAACTTCTCAAGGACTATGATTACAACATCTTATATCACTCGGGTAAGGGTAACGTGGTGGTCGATGCACTCAGTAAAAAAGTGCAGGTATATTAATTCACTTGATGGTTTCAGAATGCAGGGTAATAGGGGCCGCACAACAGATCCGACTTCAGGACCTGAAGAGTGTCACCTGTTTGGCCCACCTGACTGTTTAACTCGAATTGATCCAGAGAATAAAAGAAGCTTAGTCCACTGATTCCACCCTAGCAATCCTCAAGAAAGATGCAGAATAGGGAGTTAATTTAGAATTTCAAGTATCTGTAGATGGGTTGCTTAAATTTTAGAAAAGGGTGTGTGTTACAAGTGACAGTGAGTTGAAAAAGGACATCATGACAGAGGCCCACAGCTCAAAGTTTGCCTTGCATCTCGGAAGTACTAAAATATATCAAAGTATGCGACTCCAATTTTGGTGGAACGGGATGAAAAGAGATGTGGCCGACTTTGTTTCCAAGTGTTTGGTATGTCAGCAAGTTAAGGCAGAGCATCAATGCTTAGACGAGCTACTTTAGTCATTACCAATTCTGGAGTAGAAGTGAGAACATATTATAATAGATTTCGTGACAGGATTGCCCAGGGCACGCTCAAGAAATGATGCCATCTGGGTAATTGTTGACTGACTCACCAAGTCTTCCCACTTCTTAGCCATCAGGATGACCGATCCCTTGGACATGCTAGCAAGAATGTATATCCGGGAGATAGTCAGGTCACATGGGGTGCTAGTGACAGTAGTGTCCGACATGGACCCCAAGTTCATTTCTCGGTTTTGGTCTAGTTTTCAACAAGCCATGGGAACGAAACTATCTCTTAGTACTGTATTGCACTCTCAGACCGATGGACAATCAGAAATGACGATCTACACGCTGGAGGATATGCTCTGAGCTTGTGCTTTTGACTTCAGGAGCCATTGGGATGATCACTTACTCCTAATAGAGTTCGTCTGCAATAATAGGTACCAAACAAGTATTAACATGGTTTTGTACGAGGCGTTGTATGACCGTCTCTATAGATCGCCGATCTATTGGGAAGAAGTAAGTGGTAAAAAATTGATTGGCCCAGATCTTATAAAGAAGACTATAGCCAAAATAGTTAAGATCAGGAAGAACATTTAGACGGCTCAAAGTAGACAGAAGAGTTATGCAGACACCCAGAGGAGAGATTTGGAATTTGAGAAAGGTGATCGGGTGTTCCTTAAGGTCACTCATTTCAAGGGAATCAGTATGTTCGGCAAGAAGGAGAAACTAAATTTCTGGTTTATTGGGCTATTTAAAATCTTACACAGAATTGGCACCGCTGCCTACAAACTGGCACTGCTTTTAGAACTTTTCAGAGTTTATAATATGTTTCATGTGTCCATGCTACGTAAGTATAATCCGGATCCCTCTCACGTCTTGACCCACGAGGCTCTTTCACTCTAGGAAATCTGTCATACGAGAAAGTACCGGTTGATATTGTTGATCGAAAAACTAGAAAATTCCATTTGTTAAGGTTTTATGGCAGAATTACACACTAGGAGATGCCACATGGGAGCTAGAATCAAACTTTATAATCCAATATCCCCGACTGTTTGATTGAGTGAGAGAGACAAATTTTATGGACCAAATTTCTTTTAAGAAGGGAGAGTTGTAATACCCTTAATTACTTTTAATGTAATTAAAATTAATGTATAAATATAATTTTTTAGTTTTTAAATTTTTATTTAATGTAAAAATGAAAAAATTTAATTGGATGATGAAATTAAAAATAATTTTGGAAAAAAATGGTGAAAATTTAGATTTTGGGGGTATTTTTGAAAGAAAAATCAGAAACTGGAGGTCAAAACATAATTTAAAAAAATTGTGCAATGTAGAATGCCCAGTCAGCAGCCCCGATGAACCGAAGCGCCCCGCGTGGCAAGCCACGCTGAAGTGGTGCCACGCAGGAGGCCACGCTGGCGATCTACGTGCCCGCGATCGAACAGTCCGAATTTGTTCCCGCGCGCACAGTCGGTCTAGATTCGTTCCCTCCTCAGACACGATCGGACGGTCATGATTAAACGCGATGAACGGTCCATATCCACTTCTTATTTAAACGCGATCGGACGGTTAAGATCAAATCGCAATGAACGGTCTAGATTTACTTCCTATTTAAACGCGATCAGACGGTATAGATCAAACACGATGGACAACTCACATTAAAAGGAGATGAATATAAATAACTCTCTTCACACCAAACCCTAATTGTAGCCGCCAGATCCCCCCCTCCCTGGTCGGAGAAGAAAGCCAGTCGCCGGGAAAGGAGTCGACTACTGCCTATCGCCGTAGTAGAGCCGCCTTCGACTGCCAAAAGAGGTAAAATTTTCTCTATTTGCTCGAAATTCAATTTTGAATACCTCGATGGCCAAATTGGAGCAAAAGAACCGGTGGATAAGCCAAAAATCGCGGGTAAAGCCTGGCGGCACTGCCGCAGAAAAAAGAAAAAACTGCCTCCAATGAGGCCCTTCCCGATTTCCGTTTCGTGTAATTTTTTTATCATTGTGATCACCATCCCTTTTTTACAGGTTGACTTAAACAAAATACCCAACCGTGAAGGTGAGCCAGTGGAGCCACCCCATCAGAGAACCCCGCTGCCGGTAAGCTTCGGTTTTTTGACTTTTTTCGGCCAACCGAGTCCCCTTAACGTGTTTTCTCGCAAGAATTGGTACAAATTCGACCGAAATCGGTCGAAAGCAGCTAACCTGAGGTAAATCGCCACCGTGGGTGACAGTGCTGTCGTTGGACTTTACAGTGCTGAAATTTCATAATTGGCCAAAAAGGGTTTCTAACACTGATTTTGGATTTTTTATGGGTATTTCTAAGTACTTGAAGCGCGTTTTAATCCCTGAAGAAAAATTTAAAAAAATCTGGGGATCGTTGGTAGGCGCAGTAAAAAACTTAGCATTCAGATACCAATTCGAGTAAGAATCCCTCATCTTATTTCCTGTTATGGAATTGAAGTTTAATTAATAATAATACGGTATTTTATGTAATTTAGAAAATATTTATAATTAATTACAGATCACTAATGGAGTCGGAACTGGTTATTTATTACTGTTTGCCATGTTTACTTGATTGATTGATTTTACAGTTTCGAATGCACGATAATACACTTGAATTGATATGATAATTTGATTGTGTTTTCTTGATGCATGTATTGCTTGTTTTATGTAATTACAGTTAAATTGGAAAATTGAAAATTAAAGGTAAATGAGAAGTTATTTAATTAAGTGAATGGATGGACGGTAGCCTTACTGGATATCTTGTGAGATGGTGGACGGACCAAGTACATAAAAAACCCTACCGTGAATGTTATATCATATCAGACGAGGTATCAAGGATTTGTAATTTAGCATTCATACCAGACGGGGTATGGGGACGACTCGTTTCACCCTCATATCGGACAGGGTACTGAGGGATGGTATCTTTTGGCACCCATACCGGACGGAGTATGAGGACGACCCGTCATTTAAAAATGTTGAATAGGTTCAGACATAGTGGAGACATCCCTATGGATCCCTATGGATGCCAATAGGCTAATAAAAGAGAAAGTCGTTGTTCTTACTGATTGAATATAAGATTTTGATATTGTTTATGTTATTGACTTTATAAGTTAGTTTTTTTGAAAATCTCGCTACGATAAGTATACGGTAAATGATTTTATTCATGATAAACGAATTTACTTAAATTAAGAGCTCAATTAGTTGTTTTTCATAATTTCAACCAACATTTATTTCTGTGTTGGTGAGTATTGTGATATTCTTACTGGGGTAGTATAACTCATTCTTTCATTAACTATTTCATATAAAAAAAACTAAGATCCTGATCTTGATCCACAAGAGAGTTGCGAGTAGGATGCTCAATTATTTATTTAATTTTTTATTATTTCTTTTAAAATGGTCATTCACGTATCTTTATTGGATAATCTGAATTATTATGTAATGAATGTAAACTCTAAATATTTATTTCGCTTCCACACTAAATTTATAATTTATCTCATTTGGAGTTTACGGGCTGTTTCAAGTAATCTTTTTCAAATTTTGTATATGAAAAATATTGATAAATCTCAAAATTTTTACAAGAATTTTGTTGTTTTATCTAAAAAAAAGAATTTAAGGCAGAGATGCTTTAGATAATTCAAAAGATTTAAATCACTTAATTCTACATTTCCTCACATTAAATTTGATAAAATTAGTATTATTCGTTCTTATGTATTTATATGCGAAAAAATATATTTAAATATAAATAATTGATTGAATTATATTCTGACAGTGTAAATTTTTTAAAATGATTAATTTAATAAATTATTTAATATCACTAATTATTTACTTCTTCGGATTCAGGTATGTGTATTTTAATCATTTCTCAAAGGAGGGGTTATTGTACAAATCGATAGTGACATATTATAATTATATAAAAATATAATAGTTTTGTTGACATTTTAAAATATAATTCTTAATTGTATATAGTTGTTAAAAAAAAAAAAAAACCAAAAAGTCCCACATGGTATATCACATATTTACATGACACGTGTCCACCATTTTTAAATTATTATATTCCATTATGTTCATTCGTTAACCATTATAATTATAGCCCATTATCTTTGCTTTCATCATTAACTGAAGAAAATCTTTGCCATTGAAAGTGAAATTTACAGTAACAAGCAACCAGCAACTTAATGGGCAACAGATAAAAGTGGAAGGCAAAGAGGTTCATTAGGTACACAGAGCGGAGAAGGAGAACTTGAAAGCAAGAGAACGTTGAGATAAAAAATGGTAATAGTATTTCGTCTCTGTTTCTTCAAAATTTTCTTTTCCTCTTCGATTATACCACAATTTCATGGATGCCATGTACTGTTTGACTTTTGTTTTCAGAAGTGGTTGAGGAAAAACAGGAATGCAGTATGAGTTTGGGGGGGATATCCTCGTATATTTTTTATTTTTTGGAGTTTTTGAACCAATCGGAGAGTTGTATACAGGGGACAACTGCTTGTACGGACCCGACTCTGCATATGAAAATTTTTTTCTCATTCTGAATACTTTTGTGCAAGACTTATATATATATTTTTTGGTTTTAGAACTTTTGGATTATAATTTGGTTGTTTTTTATTTGAGAATATGAGGCAAAAGTGGGGAAATAATTGGTAATAAGGTGAAAATGGTCCATTTTTACCCGTTTCTGGATTCGGGTCAACCCAGCTGGAGGTTAGGGGTGACACTGTTCAGGGAAAAAAAAAAACAATAATTGACTTCGCCCCCATATTAAAGTTTTTGTTTCAATTGAGCTCCCCGTTTTTATCATGTGTACGCTCTGTCATATGTTTTCATGGTATGTTGGCCTAAACTATGAAGACGACCTAAACTTCATTGTGTTAATATGACTCTTTGCTCAGTGGCTTTATTTTCTTATATCTGAACTCCATTAATCTTTAACGTGTATATCAATTTTGGTAATTAAAAGCTCACATTTTTCAAGTATTATTTCATATCCAAGGGTTTAAACTCTATATATTTCTAGATTCTATATGGAGGCCTTATAATGGGAGCCTAAACATGCAATATTGAGCACTTGCACCCCACTAAGCGAGAAACTTATGGCCATTCACGAATCACTTTTACTGGGACTTCTAGTTCTGCTAACTCTGTTGGATACCATTCAAAGTGACCACCATGTCTCGACCTCTCTCAACCGTTGTAGCTTTCCCCAAGGCTTTGTTTTTGGGACCGCAACAGCAGCTTACCAGGTAAAGTCCTCTACTTCAGTGAATATACAGATTTTTGCTGAATTATATTTTTGAAAAAAATTAGCAATCACTTGTTTTGAAATATGTTAAATAAGGACTATGTCCCATGAAAAATGATCTTACCAATAGCACCTTTGATGTCTTCAGGTTGAAGGTGCTGTAGATGAAGGTGGCAGAGGCCCAAGTATATGGGATGATTTTACGCACAAGTGGCCTGGTCTCTCTTTCTCTCCACAATTTAGGTTTCATTATTAAATAATAATTTCTGGTTATAGTAAGTGCTTTTTTCTTAGTGAGGTTCTGTGTATTGAACAAAATGGCGTAAGACGAATGTATTAAATTTTCCTGTTTGGATTGATGTCGCTTTATCTAATGGCTGGGTAGATAATATCCCAAACAGCACAACTTGAACGGATAACTTAATGCATTAACGAATTCTTGCAGAAAGGATAGCTGGCAAGGGCAATGGAGATAAAGCTGTTGATTTTTATCATCGCTATAAGGTATGAGAGATTCACTCCATTTCTTGTTAGCTGTTGCTGGTCAATTTGGTAAACAATAGATGAAAATTTGGTTTCAAGGTAATTATATAGATGAATTGGTTGTTGGTAGTGGAAAAAAAGTTTAATTTGCTGAATTATTCATAATGTTAAGGAAAAATATGAACTGTCACAGGAAGATATTAAAGAAATGAAGGAAATGAACATGGATGCTTTCAGGTTCTCCATCTCATGGACTAGAATTTTACCATGTAAGTAACTATTTGGGGTCCGTACTGACTTATGTAGCCTTTTCACCAACTAGCTGATTTTTTATTTTCTGTTTCCTCTTGAAAACTTTAAAATCCAGATGGTAAGCTTCATAAAGGAATCAACAAGGAAGGGGTCAAATTTTACAACAATCTCATCAATGATCTCCTAGCAAATGGTCACTGTTCTTTTCTACTCATGTTCAACAATTTACAGTTGTAGGTTTAATTGATGTTAATATTTTAGAATAACCAAAAATATAGCTGTTTAACAGGGTTAATTGACATTGCAGTTGCCGTCTGTACTTAGAAATGTAAGGCAATGACCTGTTTGTCAAAAGAAAAAAAAAATTAAAGATCTTGAATTGAGGTTGGAGACTTCTAAAAATTTCACAGCTACCAGAGGACTATAACTAAATCAATGAAGAAACATATTTATGATTGAGTTGGAGATCAAAGCAAAGCACTATATCTTATCATCTTTCCTGTGCAGATCTTGAGCCCTTTGTAACTATCTTTCACTGGGATCTTCCTCAAGCTTTAGAAGAAGAATATGAAGGCTTTAGAAGCCACCATATTGTGTGAGTAACCACCTTTCTATTGTTTGTAATTCATGCTTTTGTAAATATTGACAGTTATAGATCCTTTTTTTTCCTCTTTTTTTAGAAGAAAAAGGAATGATATTCCAAGGCATCAGGTGGTGCCATCTTGTTATAAGGTATCTACGATTCTCACAAAGAGAACATATCAATTAGATTAACAAAATCAACTCCACCCAACATGGACTAACCCTCAAACAAAATATGAAGGATTCTAAGCCAATGATCCTGGTTTGAAGCAAAGGGAGAAGAGGAATTATCAAGCCTATATCATGCTTCTTTTTCCTAGTGACCCAAAAGATTGCACAGTAAATGGTGGATGAAAACTTCCTGCAAATCCCTTTTTTTGCCCATATTTCATCCTTGGTAGAAGCAGTTACCGCCTAGTTGAGGTAAAGGAGAATAATTGAATGCCTTCTAGTTTCATGGCACCAGAGAAGAAGATGGCTTAGGGATTTGTTATGACCATGGTACAAGATATACTGGTTCACTAAAATTCAATCTTCTTCCTGGGGTTGTCAATAATTAGGATCCTTTTCTTTGCTGCCTCCCATGTTAAGAACCACCTGGTGGAGGATTGATAGTTCTAAATTTCTAATCCTGTTATGGTAGAAGCATAAGCTTCTGATAAAGTAAGCATTCAAAGGATCAATATCCTGTGTGCATTTGTTTTTGGATAAAAATAGAGAAATTTATATACTGTTACATGTTGATTTATGCTCGAGTTAACATTTCAAAAGTGGTGAGCAAATTATTTCACTAACGGTGTTCCTCACACACTGGAACTAAACTGAAAAAGTCTGTCCGGCTAAATAAGATCGTTGACATAATATGCAGGGCTGATTTCCGCAATTTTGCAAGGCTTTGCTTCCAATTATTTGGTGATAGAGTAAAGTACTGGATGACTTTAAATGAACCAGGGACCTATAGTGTCAACGGTTATCATGTAGGTAACTTTGCACCAGGTCGATGTTCAAAATGGGTGAATGCAGCCTGCAAAGATGGGAACTCTAGCACTGAGCCATACGTTGTTGGCTATCACTTGCTTCTTTCTCATGCAGCCGCTGTAAAAGAATATAGAAAATATTACCAGGCATGCAAAAGTTTATTCTAAGTTTACTACATAAATTATCAATTTGATACACATTATTGTCATGTTTCCTCCTAAGAATCTAGTTAATTACAGTGGTTGTTGGATTGGAGTGGTACTTAGTATTATGTTTTCTGTATCTCCATATTGCAAATGTGAACATTGAAAAGTTGAAACTTGTAATTGTTTCAAAGGAAATTATCATAAGCATAATCACAAATTATGGAATTCCTTTTCTTAGGTTCCACAATCACGGACTTACACTTCATATTTCATGTTTATTATATTCTTTAGAGACATCAGAAAGGCAAGATTGGTATAGTACTCAGTTCTATATGGGCAGTACCTTTCTCTGAGAGTGAAGCTGATCGTGAAGCAGCAAAAAGAAAGCTTGATTTCACGTTGGGTTGGTGAGTAAATCATAAGAACTTTAAACAAGTATTTTTTCATTTACTTGTTTCGGACGTCCTTGAGTACTTATGTCGTGCGTGCTTTTGCTCAATTAGGTTTTTGAATCCTATAACCTATGGTGACTACCCAGAGAATATGTGGACTTATGTTAAAGATCGATTGCCTCGTTTCACTAGAAAGCAGTCTCAAATGCTAAAAGGGTCTTATGATTTTCTGGGAATCAATTATTACTCTGGACGCTATGCAGCTAATAAAAAAATTGTTGATCCGTGGTATCTCAGTTATGGGAATGACTCGCATGTTGAAATGAGGGGTAATTGCATAAAACCACAAATGTCAAGTAGGCTAATCGCCAAAAATTACACTCTATTCCTCAAAATCGCTTTACTAGAATGTTTTTGTTTTTTCTCTTGTAGATTTCCATATGAATGGAAAACAACTCTCTTGCTTGTTTACTGTTTTTCTTTTTTCTTGCAGACCAACGAAATGGAGTACCTATTGGCCCACCGGTATGTGGAAAAGCACTTCTGAAGAAAGCACATATGCAAAAAAGAAACTGAAACAGGGAAAAAATGGAAAAGCATGTTGACCCTAGAAGCATGTTCTGTTCTTGGTTTGTCTTTTAACTATAGAGATTATTTAGTTTCCTTATCAGTTTCTGCATGTCAAATTTGCAGTCTGCTTCAGACTGGCTCTTTGTTTATCCGGAGGGTATTAGAGATCTCCTCAAATATATAAAAGATACATACAACAGGCCAACAATCTATATTTCGGAGAATGGTAAGGCAAATAACTAATTTATTTTGTTTTGTCCATGAAAATATTTTCCATTTTTTACGTTCTGCTCATGTATGTTTATAGATTAGGTTGTTAAAAATCAAAAAGAAATTAGAAATGATAATGAAAATATGGATGACATTTGAAAAGGATAAAAAGTTTTTCCTAGTATTTTTTTTAAAAATTGTTTTTATTATACGTCGACAAATACACACCATGTTTCAAGGATGAGTACATCATAAGACATGAATGTAGAAAACAAAGAGAAAACGATATTTTCTTCTTTAAACAAAAATGAACTTTTCTTATTAATCCTGGTTTTGGGAGTTGGAAGGGAAAATTGAAGAATGGTTATATAAAGAGATGTACGAAAGAAGAAATGAGTCTTTTCCTTTTCCCTGCTTGTTCAGATGTTTTAACCAAAATAAAAGGAAACAAAATAGAGGATGTATCTTCTCTTGTTTTATTTGGGTCTATGAAAGGGAAAGAAACTGGAAAAAGAAAGACATCTTTGTCAGTTTATCTATTTAGTATATGGGTTTTTCATTTTCCCCCAAGGCTTTGAAAAACATGTAAGGTTAGATATTGGTGTTTGATACCTATTTTGTTTTAGAATTAGGGAATGGAGGAT